TAAATGAGTGCAGTAAATGCTGCACTCAGTGGTCACTGCCGCCATCTTCTTTCACTACAGGACTTGGTCACGTCACGTAGGGGCTAGGGGGAGAAGGCTTGGACAGGCGATCACATTAATAATTGACTGTGTCGGAGCACAAACCGCTGGAACTTAAGCTTTGTTTCCTCTTTTCAGAGATTTTGTCTATGTATCTCAGGACCCCAAAGATCAGCTTCTCCTTGGGTACGTATGAACATCCTCACATGTACTGTGATACCATCACGTAATAACCGATCATGATAAACATTGCATTTGGTCTCTGGGTCCTTACCTGTATATATCCCAGTCTGAGAGAGAGAATTACAGCAAGTGTAAACCTTCCTGATAAAATGCAGCACCAAACCACCTTGTTCCCAGTGTAAAGCGCCTTGTTCCCGGTGTAAAGCGCCTTGTTCCCGGTGTAAAGCGCCTTGTTCCCAGTGTAAAGCGCCTTGTTCCCAGTGTAAAGCGCCTTGTTCCCGGTGTAAAGCGCCTTGTTCCCGGTGTAAAGCGCCTTGTTCCTGGTGTAAAGCGCCTTGTTCCCGGTGTAAAGCGCCTTGTTCCCGGTGTAACTGGCATCTTTTTAACCAGTTGACATCCGCGGTGTTAAACCCCCTTCCCATCCAGGCCATTTTTCAGTATTCAGCGCTGATTTGCATTAGGGATGTTCACTATACTTCAGTAGAGAAAGAGAGCTCATTTGGTGCTCATACACTGGCATGGTAAGGGACTTCCAAGTCCATTAATTCTCTGTGATGCACACCCCAGCCTACAGTACAGGGGCTGACGTCACATGTCTTTGAGGTTTTGTTGCCCTGAGGTGTAGAAAGGGCTGGGGGCTTGGGGCCCGTTCACACCAGATGCAGTGCGTTCCGGCCCGATTCTAGCCAGAACTCACTGACGCGCATTGCGGCCAGCTCACTTTTTTGTGGGGCAGGAGGGGGCGTGGTGGGCCATTGAAGTGAATGGCACCGTAGCCACGCCCTCCGGGCCGCACGGGGTCGCAAGGCACATTATGCCTGCGGTGCGGTCCGGTCCGATCAAAATGCTGCAAGCACCATGGCCCGCCATGCCCCACAAAAAAGTGAGCCGGCCGCAATGCCAGGCAGTGCGTTCTGGCTAGAATCGGGCCGCAACGCACTGCATCTGGTGTGAGCTCAGTGTATAAGGGCCCGTTATCAGAATAGGCATCCCTGACTTCTCTAACTGTGCAGGCAAAGACATGGGCTGGGCTGAGTCGTTGAGCTGTGCGTTTAAGGCAACCTTTTAGCTGTGCAGGCTTCATGTTCGGGATTGCCTACATACAGGTGGCTACTCCATGGCTGTCGGGCAGCACCACCTGCAGCGCTAGATCCACAGAGACATCTTCATAGTTTGGATATTTGTAACAAACGTGTTTTATTTCAGGCCAACCTATGGAACACCCAAAGTACTTGAGAAAGCTGGTCTGACGTTAGCGGACATTGATGCCTTTGAGTTCCACGAGGCCTTTGCTGTAAGATAGAAGTGCACGGTGTTTGCATGTGTCATTTCTGTGTGTCTTCTTATTAATTGCTCCACGTTTATTTATAGCTCTGACATATTCCGCAGCGCTGTACAACTGAGCCCCTGAGCCTCAACATTCTCTGTATCAGAGGAGCTTACACTAGAATGTCCCCCCTACAGTCACATCAGTCTCTGTACAGAGGAGCTTACACTCTAATGTCCCCTCCCCCACAGTCACATCCCTCCCTGTACAGAGGAGCTTACACTCTAATGCCCCCCCCCACAGTCACATCAGTCTCTGTACAATCCAAAACAAGGTACATCCCATTATAGACAGTTGTTACCAGAACAGGTGTCCCCTGAAAGAGTTCCCTTCACCGCCTGTCATGGTGACAACTTTACATTTTGAATTTCCTCTACCCTATCTCATTGGTCACCAGGACGGATAGAGGGGTGAGTCTTTGGTCCCCGGGACGGATAGAGGGGTGAGTCTTTGGTCCCGGGACGGATAGAGGGGGGAGTCTTTTTCCAGCGGGGTCACAGCAATAGAAAACTGACAAGAACTCTAACCCTTTTACACTATATCCTAAAATAAGGGGGGGGGAAAAAAGGTTTTGGGGTTTCTAAATGCACTTCAACCTTTTTACTACACACACTCTCCCCTGTGGCCTGTAGGTGGCGATCTTGTCATTGTCTGTAGATTTGCAGTGCGTCATACTCGCATGCATTGTCCCTTTTAAGCCCTCATTCACACTGTAATCGGCCGGCACGTACAGCTCCGTGCTGTGTGCACAGCCGTATCGGGCAGCTCCCGGGAAGGACAGTTGCTGCGTGTGATTAGTACGCAGCCCCCGTCCTTCTCTATGGGAGTACGCCCTACGCTCACCCGCCATGCATGTCGGTGCAGGTGAGCATACTTGTGCGCTAACAGGATGGATTCGGTCTGCGTCCAAGCCGGGACACCCGCACCCTTACGGACCTGCACTTGAGGTGAGCGTAGGGCGGCGGCCATAGAGAAGGACGGGGGCTGCGTACTTATCACACGCAGCACCTATCCTTCCCGGGAGCCGCCCGATACGGCCGTCACGCAGCACAGAGCTGTACGTGCCGGCCGATTGTCGTGTGAATGTGGGCTTACTCTTTCCAGTTTCATAGTATGTTCAGGTTTCATCCGCCAGAGCGGATTACATTCATGGTCACTCCTTTATGATGCTTTTGAACACACAGAGGTTTTGTTTTTCCAAATTTCTCTTTACCAAACCCCCCCTGCCCCCCTCCCGTATGGGTTTATTGACTCACCTGACATTTACACAGATGTCACTCTCCGGCATTGATTTACATGATCAGTCTATTTGTACAGGATAATCAAATGCAAAGGTGGCGGCAGCTGCTGGGAGAACAATGAGTTCTATGACAGGAATGTCCGGCCCGTCGCTGTACCTTTTAGTCCTCGTTCACACCTAGGCGTATTGCATATGCGCGTCTGTCGCACGTTTTTTTACCGCGATTCGCTGTAAAAAAGTTGCGCGACCGTCGCGTGTTTCCGAAGGCTACTTGGCTGTATCCCAATAGAAACGCGCAAACAAAACGCCCCAAAGTAGTACCTGTACCTTTTCAGGCGTGGGCCGTTTTGTAGCGCGTTAGGGACGGGCGGAAATACGCCGAGGTGGGAACGAGACCATTGAATACAATGCAATTTATATTTTTGACCGTTTTGTAGAGCGTTCGTCGAGCGTAGAACGCGCTACAAAACGTTCAGGTGTGAACGAGGGCTGAGGGTGCTCGGTAACATTGTGTTTTTCCTCATTGTATAGGGGCAGATCCTGGCCAATATGAAAGCAATGGAGTCCGAGTGGTTCGCCCAGAATTACATGGGAAGGAAAACAAAGGTGACTCGTCTCGTCTGTTTATTCTAAAATATAATGAATGTAGTCACCGGCTGCGGAAATAACTACTCTGCCAGTCCTTGAATTGTGCCGGCCCATATACCGGTCCATGAAATGTGCCGGCCCATATACCGGTCCATGAAATGTGCCGGCCCGTATACCGGTCCTTGTAATGTGCCGGCCCCTATACCAGTCCTTGTAATGTGCCGGCCCCTATACCAGTCCTTGTAATGTGCCGGCCCCTATACCAGTCCTTGTAATGTGCCGGCCCCTATACCAGTCCTTGTAATGTGCCGGCCCCTATACCAGTCCTTGTAATGTGCCGGCCCCTATACCAGTCCATGAAAGATATGGCTTATACTGGTTGCTGACATCAGAGCTCCGCTTGTCACTGATCTCTAACATTTGTTCTATTTTCATTTGCATTGTACTTGTGATTTTATGAATTGAGGAAACTATAAAGTGAAACCTATAAATCCGGAGGCCACCATTCTGACCTCCTTTTCAAAATGCTGGTTGCTGGGTGTCTCTGGCCTCAGCATGGGGTCAGAGGGAAGTCCTGATGTGCACTGAAGTCTTTGGGACGGCCAAGTAACTAGAATATTCAATATCAGTGGCAGTCTACATATTCTATAGATACACCTTCCTTAGAATTGCCTTTCTTTCTCTCTCCTCCATTGGGGGATACGGCTCTTGATTTGATTCCGATATGTAGGGTTATGCTGCTGGTGGAATCCATTCGATCGGGCTCCGGACGCGAAGGCTTATTTTTGTTGGTGTGAGTCCTTGGGGTTGTCCCCGCTGACTTTTTCTATATTGTGAATTTTTCTTTTCAATCAGGGGTAGGTAGATAAATCAACGTTTAGCTCTCGGTACCATAAGAGGTCAGATATCTGCCTTGTCTGTCCTTTTTTCACCATCCTCTGGAAGGCACACGGGGAACCACTGAACACAGGGTCGCGACCCGCCAGTTGAGTACCAAGGGTCTAGAGCAGTGATGGCGAACCTCGGCACTCCAGCTGTTTTGGAACTACAAGTGCCATGAGGCATTGCAAGGCTCTGACAGCCGCAGACATGACTCCCAGAGGCAGATGTATGTTGGGATATGTAGTTTTGGCACAGCTGGAGTGCCAAGGTTCGCCACCACTGGTCTAGAGCCTTGGTTCTCAACTGGTGGGTCGTTACCCAAAAGTGGGTCACGTACCCGTGTTTAGTGGGTCACCGCATGCCTTCCACCTTTCTAGGTGAGAGGCTCCTCTGCTCCCCCTAACACACCACTGTCAGTTCTTGCTGCAAACAGCCATTCAAAATATGCTGCCCGGCGCCGAGTGTCAGCTTGAGGTGGGGTGGGCTGCGAGGGAGCTCCATCCATACCTGCATTGCTTACAACTCCCTCACATGTCCAGTAGAGGTGCCTGGACCGGAGTGACGTGACATTCTGGGTCCCGGCACCTCTGCAGGCCTGCAAGGGAGCTGCACAAGCAATGCACATATGGATGGAGCTCCGTCACAGCAGCCCACACCGGACCCCAGGCTGAGGATCCACTCCAGTTCTTGTAAGATGGGGAGACTGAGTGGATCATAAAAAAAGAAAAGTTTTTGAGTGTGTATGTGTGGTTGAGAATGTCTGTGAGTGTGAGATTGTACAAGATAAAAACGAGAGGGGCGCCTTCTCCTAGTGCAGATAAGTTTTATTTTTCAATAAGAAATGAGATAAAGTCTTAAAAATGGATACTCACAAGAGTGGAAGGATCACAAGCATTGGACACAATATAAAAACGAGAGCCAAACTGGTGCAGTGGCAGTCAGTCAGAAGTGTCCTGTGTGCAGATCGATATATCAGCGTGTCGACGCGTTTGCGGGGCACGCCCCCTTCGTCAGGACATGTGATTGTGCCTGTGGTTGTGTGTTTGTGTTTTTGAGGGCCCATTCACATTAGTACAGTGTGTTACTCGAACAGTCCACTGCGATTATCGCACTGTACCATGCAATCGCATCTACTGTGCATTCTGGTGTGGGAGGTGCATTGGGTTACCATTCATCTGAATTTCACCCATTTCAATCAGCCGCACCAGAATGCGTGGTGCCGCAATGCCGTGCGTTGCATTGCAGTGCGACTTGGGTCGCGACTTAATGACCGAGGCTTTCATTGCTCCCTGTGACATCACTAAGCTTGTCTAATTCTTGCAGGTTGGCGCTCCTCCCATGGAGAAGTTTAACAGTTGGGGCGGATCACTGTCCCTCGGTCACCCTTTTGCCGCTACGGGCTGTCGCCTGGTGATGGCCGCTGCTCACCGGCTGAGGAAGGAAGGAGGACAGTATGGACTGGTGGCAGCGTGTGCTGCAGGAGGACAGGTGAGCTTTCACAGTCTACCCAATGCCTCTGTTTAGATGTTTGCTCGATCTTCAATACAAGTGCCTGTAGGAGAGGCCGTCATTGCTTATTTCATTAATAAATGTTATACTTTATTTAGTGCCCTGTTTTAACCACTTCTGGGCCGCAATACGTCTATAGACGGCGGCCCGTTAAAGTGGCCGTGTTCTTGGTACCGCTTTTAACAGCAGGCGATTGCTGTTAATGTACAAGCGTTCCGGCGAGTACATGTACCAGATACTCGGCAACGGTACCGATACCAATACTAGTATTGGTGCATCCCTCATTACAATGTGTCTTCATTATATCTTATTGATGTCTATGGATCTTCAAAAAACACCTCTGTGTGAGATCACCCCAGAAAGTTGCACTGAGCCCTCCCCCCACCTGAGATCCTAGATAACCCCACCAGAGATGAATGACCCCGCTATGGTTTCAGGTCAAAAACTAGCGTCCTCCCGTCACCCTGAGCTCAGTATATAGGGAGCTACAGCTCGCGGTATACTGGGACGCCGCAGCCGGAGCGGATCCTGACAATTGTGCCGGGATCCGCACAGCCGCGTGAGTGACAGCTGGCTCTGCCTATCTAGAGGCAGAGCCAGCTGTACCCGCCCCCTCCCCCGTCCGTTCCGCCAGTCAGCGCTGGCAGATCGGAGCGGGGAGGGGGGAATCCAGTCCCTCCCCTGTCAACGGCAGAGAGCCGTGAGAGGATCGAGAAGTGAGCGAGCGCCGGTATGTGTTCCCTCACCTCCCGATCTACTGAACCGACCTGTGACAGTCTCATTGTCACAGGTCGGCTAGAACTATGAGGCCCCGTTCACATTGAGCAGTTAGCAAATCGCGCAATTGCATTTTGCGCGATATCGTGCAAATGCTTGCATTGAGCAAGCTTGAATCGCGGCTAAATCCGCTCCAAAAAGGGTCCTGCTGTAGCGACACACGACCCGCGATAGCAGGACCCTTTGCCCCATTGAGAAGCATTGGAGAGTGATATCGCGCGGTAAATATCCGTGAAATAAATCGCTCAATGTGAACGGGGTCTTAGGTGAGTGAAAAGCACTCCCCTCATAGTTCTCCTTTAACCTCCCTGGCGGTATGATTATGTCAGGAATTTTGTAAATCTAATAGAGAGGCAGGCAACTTCGGTAGTCCTGCTGTGCTGAAACTTTAAATCCCATCATGCCTCTGCTTCTGAGAGTCATGCCTGTGGCGGTCAGTCTTGCAATGCCCCATGGGTCTTGTAGTTCCACCACAACTGGCCTGGTCTAATCTATTAATAAAGGGGCCCATACACCTGGCGATTTATCGTGCGTGATCCCGCGATCGTACGATAATCGGCAGGTGTATGGAAGGCGTGCGACCGTTTCTACTCTAAGGTCGCACATCTTTTGTCTTCCGAGCAGGCTCGAAAACTCGCCGAAAATGGTACGGTTAGTGGTGTGCTCGATAGACAAATGCCGAACGGGCCGGTGTGCGGACGCACACTGCCCGCTCGGCATTGGAATCATCAGAAGCCCGCCCCTCAGCGGGGAGGGCTTGCGATGATCGCTAGTACGTCCTGCCCGTCCATGATTGGCAGATCGTACCAGATTTTAATTACCTTACATGGTTGGAAGGTGTATGGGCAGCTTTACGATGTCACGGTGAGGAGTTGTGTGCAGCAGGTCTTGTATATTGATCATTGCATTGTACATAGTATACGTGTTCCACATTTCATATTGTTATCTATTGCTTGTTCTCGTTCCTCCGGGGAAACTGATTTTCATTTGTTGTTCCCGTTGTCTGTAACCCCCCGAGTTCATTAATAATATGAGACAATTACTTTTATCAGGTTGAGTCAGTGTTTTGTCTGCGGGAGGTCCATGGGGAGAGAACTCCCCGCTCTCTGAGCAGATAATAGACCTCGCAGCACTTGTCTCTGCTCCCCTGTTCCCTCCGCGCGGCCATTTCTGTGACTCCGCTGTGTGTTTACCTGTCAGACGTCTACACCTGAGCACACCGCTCTCCTGTGCAATCACCGCCGTCACCTGAAAGGAACTCCATGGCATCCAGTCGTGTGCCATTCCACGAGTCAATTGCTGAAAATCCTTATGGAGCAGTTGCCCCTGGCAATGAATTATTCAAGAGAACTATGGGGTATGTTCTTCCCCATAGTTCTCTTAAGGGTCACAGGAGGACATATACTAGCGTCCTCCCGTGACCCAAAGCTCAGTATATCGCGAGTTACAGCTTGCGGTATACGGAGACCGCCGCAGCCGGTACGGATCCCGACAATGCTGTCGAGATACACCAAGCTTCGTGAGTGACAGATGGCTCTGCCTATCTAGAGGCAGAGCCAGCCGTGCCCTCCCCGCTCTCTGCAGGGAGTCACAGCTCTATGCAGGGAGAAGATGGAGAAGTGAGCGAACTATGAGGATCAATGATTTTCACTCACCTCATAGATCTCCTTTTAAAGCTTTGGAAAGATAGAAGCTGATTGGTTGCCATGCACAGCAGCTCTAGATCAGGTCCCCTCATAGTGTTGTCAGCATACACACGCAGCATTTTTAACTTGTAATTTCAGTGTTTGTTTTCAATCCTTCACTGACATTTTTGTGTACTTTTAATGGAGTTTTCTTTTCTGTTTTAGGGTCACGCCATGATTGTGGAGGCGTATCCCCAATAACGCGTAGCTCCATGTTATTGTCCCAGCCAATGCACTAATAAGGAAGAATGTCTCCCTCCTGCAAAGGATCATTTTGCCGCACTGTAAATACTTTTTTAGTTGCCTTGTCTGCGGTTTACTGATTTGTACTGAGCACCAAGCGACTCCTATAATAAGATTGAGTCACCTAGTGATGGATGGGGGTGCACGTCCGTGCCCATGGCCGTTCCTTGCTTTCCTATGTTCTGCAGAAGTAAACTGGAGTTGCCACTGAAGATGAATTGTTGAATGAAACCTGCTGTGCTCTTTGGAACGGGCTTCTGGAAAAATTAACACCTTTCAGTACCCGTGTAAGCGGCTCCGCGGGAAGTGCGGAGTGAAGGGAAGTTTTGCAAATTAATAAAAATGTAATTGAGCAATTTTGTCTTTTTGTTTTATTTATTATTATTATTATTATTATTATTATTATTATTATTATTACATAGTATTTATAGAGCACCAACAGTTTGCGCAGCGCTTTACAATATAAGGAAGACATTACAATACAATTCAAGACAAGATGGTAAGGAGGGCCCTGCCCCTGAGGGCTTACAATCTAAAAGAGGAGGGGCCAGTGATACATGAGGAGGAGGGAGCTGTGTGGGGAATGAATTATGTGAGAATGTGAAGGTTCAGCGGTTATGTTGAGGTGGGATAGGCTTCCCTGAAGAGATGAGTCTTTAGGGAACGCCTAAAGGCAGTCAAGGTGGGAGATAGACGGACAGGTTGGGGGTAAGGAGTTCCAGAGGATGGGAGAGACTCTAGAGAAGTCCTGGAGGCGAGGTTTTATTTAGACCCCATTCACACCTAGCGACATACCTTTTGCAGCGGATCCGCATGGCCGGGATAGCGCGACTTTCGGGGCGACGTTCCAGCAACGATCCAGCGACGGTAGCGCGACCTTCCCCGTCGGGCTCCATAGAAAAAAAGCAAAATCGCGCAAAATCCGCCGAAAAAAGGGTCCGGTAGAAGCGACTTGCGACATGGAGTTAAGACAGCTCCATTGAATAACATTGGCCGGCGACTTCTCGCGATATCGCGCGGCAAAAATGCGCGATATCGCGGCGGAAATCGCGCGACAATTCGCTATATGTGAACGGGGCCTGAGAGGGAAGCTCAAAGCGGCGTTTTCCATAGCAGGGAATGAGGCAAAAGACAGCCAAAGCAACTGTTTTTGTTGTGTAATGAAAAGGACAAAATGCAGAACACATCAGAGTAAAGGGAGCCTGTCAGGATGAGGGTTACTTGGCATAGACGGAGGATCACAATGTTGCAGGTCAGACCATTAACTTCCTCACACAGAGAATCCGTCTTATCTCCAGACTACCGCCTGGGGGAGAGAACTCGGTGCTCTTACTGGAGCTGGCTTCCAGTCGAATACACCCGAGGACATGGAAACATTTGTTTTATAGCAATGTATCTATTTAGTTATTTTACCTACAATTGGATTTTAAAGTGAACCTGTCATCGCAGAAATACGGCAGCCGCTATGAACGACCTTGCCCAGTTGCTTCGGCTGTCTTTTACCTTTTATTACCTGAAAGTCGCAAACCAAAAACAAGCAAGCGTTAAATGAAAGTCAGAAATCATTCTCTTCTTGTTCCAGGGGCTCGGAAGTTACGGAAGCTAAGGCATTGCAGCCAGGCTACTGGTATTCTCGGGAAGATGCGTCAGTAAGTGCAGCCCAGATATACAGTGAGGAAAATATAAAGATCCCCCTGCAGATTACAAAGAAATGAAAGGTCTGTAATTTGTATCATCGGTGTATTATATATATGATAGAGACAGAATATCAAACAAAATCCAGAGAGGTCACATGATACAAATGTTATAAATGGAGTTGCAGTTCAGGGAGTAAAATAGGTATTTGATCACTTACCAGCCAACAAGAATTCTGGCCCCTCCCACAGACTGGCCATGTGGTACACAGATGAGTTCTGTCACTTTAAGAAGGTGCTCCTAACGACAACTCGTTATGTATATAAAAGACACCCGTCCACAGAATCTCTTTCTTCCCGTCACACCTCCCCCACCCTGGGCAAGACCAAAGAGCTGTCGGGGACAAGATTGTAGACCTGCACAAGGCTGGAATGGGCTACAAGACTATCAGCAAGGAGCTCGGTGAGAGGGAAACCAATGGAAGGAATACACAATACCCATCAATGGCCCTCGGTCTGGGGCTCCATGCAAGATTTGGCCTCATGGATGATCATGAGAAAAGTGAGGGATCAGCCCAGAACTACAACGGGGGAGGAGCTTGTGAATGATCTCAGGGCATTTGGGACCACAGTCACCAAACAAACCATTGGTAACACAATACACCGCCATGGATTGAGATCCTGCAGCGCCAGCAAGGTCCCCTCATTAGGAAGGCCCGTGTACAGGCCCGTCCCCCTCCCTCAGGAAGGCCCATGTACAGGCCCGTCCCCCTCCCTCAGGAAGGCCCATGTACAGGCCCGTCCCCCTCCTCAGGAAGGCCCATGTACAGGCCCGTCCCCCTCCTCAGGAAGGCCCATGTACAGGCCCGTCCCCCCTCCTCAGGAAGGCCCATGTACAGGCCCGTCCCCCCTCCTCAGGAAGGCCCATGTACAGGCCCGTCCCCCCTCCTCAGGAAGGCCCATGTACAGGCCCGTCCCCCCTCCTCAGGAAGGCCCATGTACAGGCCCGTCCCCCCTCCTCAGGAAGGCCCATGTACAGGCCCGTCCCCCCTCCTCAGGAAGGCCCATGTACAGGCCCGTCTGAAGTTTTGCCAATGAACATCTAAATGATTCAGAGGAGGAAGTGCTGCGGTCACATGACACCAAAATTCAGCTCTTTGGCATGAACTCGACTCGCCGTGTTTGGAGGAAGAATAATGCTGACCTATGACCCTAAGAACACCGTCCCTACAGTCCAGCCAAGAGGTGGAAACATTATGCTTTGGGGCTGTTTCTCTGCTAAAGGTACAGGCCGACTTTGCCGCATTGGGGGGCCAATGGACGGGGCCACGTATTGTAAAATCTTGGATGAGAACCTCCTTCCCTCAGCCAGAACACTGAAGATGGGTCGTGGACGGGTCTTTCAGCGTGACAATGACCCAAAACATATCGCCATGGCAACAAATCCATGACTTAGGAAGCACATTGAGGTCATGGAGGGGCCTAGCCAGTCTCCACACCTCCATCATATAGAACATTTATGGGAGGAGCTGAAACTTCGAGTTGCCGAGCGACAGCCAAGAAACGTGAAGGATTGAGAGAAGATCTGTAAAGGGACCAAAATCCCTCCTGAGATGTGTGCAACCCTGGCAACCAACCCCAGGAAACGTCTCACCTCTGTGCTCCCCAACAAGGGTTCCCCCAGGAAACGTCTCCCCTCTGTGCTCCCCAACAAGGGTTCCCCCAAGAAACGTCTCCCCTCTGTGCTCCCCAACAAGGGTTCCCCCTGGAAACGTCTCACCTCTGTGCTTCCCAACACGGGTTCCCTCAGAAAACGTCTCACCTCTGTGCTCCCCAACAAGGGTTCCCCCAGGAAACGCCTCCCCTCTGTGCTCCCCAACAAGGGTTCCCCCTGGAAACGTCTCACCTCTGTGCTTCCCAACACGGGTTCCCTCAGAAAACGTCTCACCTCTGTGCTCCCCAACAAGGGTTCCCCCAGGAAACGCCTCCCCTCTGTGCTCCCCAACAAGGGTTCCCCCTGGAAACGTCTCACCTCTGTGCTTCCCAACACGGGTTCCCTCAGAAAACGTCTCACCTCTGTGCTCCCCAACAAGGGTTCCCCCAGGAAACGCCTCCCCTCTGTGCTCCCCAACAAGGGTTCCCCCTGGAAACGTCTCACCTCTGTGCTTCCCAACACGGGTTCCCTCAGAAAACGTCTCACCTCTGTGCTCCCCAACAAGGGTTCCCCCAGGAAACGCCTCCCCTCTGTGCTCCCCAACAAGGGTTCCCCCAGGAAACGTCTCACCTCTGTGCTTCCCAACAAGGGTTCCCCCAAGTACTAAGTCATGTTCTGCTTGGGGATCAAATACTTATTTTACTGGCAATTGACCATTCAAGCAACTACCTCTGAATTGTGGGTGGCAGAGGAAGGTACAGATGTACACCCATACCCAGAAGTTGCTGAGTTTTGGCAGTGGTCCTGGTGCAGATCTGGAAGTCGGGGAGGGAAACATGCTGAAGGCGAGCACAAAGCACCGAGTTGTTTAAAAGACATAACTGAGGTGAGTGGAAACAAAAAGGAGAAATACTCTAACAAGAAATAAAAGCAACATTGGTCAGATTATGTGACACTGTGCATTGAAATCAAAGCCAGATCCGTCTAGGGCTGTGCTGTCTCATTAGCTTAACCAGTTGACATCCGCGGTGTTACACCCCCTTCCCATCCAGGCCATTTTTCAGTATTCAGCGCTGCGGTACTTTGACTGACATTTATTCCGTCATGCAACGCTGTACTGAAATGAATTTTATACCCTTTTTTGGGGACAGATAGAGCTTTCTTTTGGTGGTATTTATTCACCACTGGGGGTTTTATTTTTTTACTATATTAAGGAAAAATTACCAATAT